CAAAAAAAATATTATGTTTGATCTGTTTTTTTTTCAAAAAAAAAAAACTATAGCAAAATGTAACTTTTTTCCACAATTTATTCAAAAGTCAAAGTTGGGTTTTAATATTTTGTTATCTTTTGGGTTTATTTAATGAAATATTAGTACAGATTTTTTATTATTTTTGTGTCTTAATGAAATAAAAAAATTAACCAAATTATCAAAACTTTGAGAATGACATTGTTAAAGAATAATTTTCTTTTAAGTTTATTCTTTTAAATGCATCTCCTTTTATGTCAATTTACATGTCTTTACATACCTTGGCAAATGATATGATAGCAAAAAGGAAAAATAGACATTAATTAAGTTGAAATAGCATGTACATTATTATTTGTTACTAATATAATAATCCATCATAGAGGCAATGCTATTTATACTACATGTTTTCTTATCAACAAAATATCATCTTCTCTTCAAAATAAAGTTTCTTATTCCATTTTGTTTCCAAGTTTTTATATGATGTCTCCAAGTTTGGATAAACTTTCCTCCAAAGTTATCTTATATGTCTTTCTAGGATATTCTCACGTTAAAAAGGATATTTATATTATTCTTGAGAATAAAAACATTTTACATAGTTGTAAATGTCACCTTTTTTAAAGAAACTATTTTTTCCTTCTTCCATATAATATCTCGAGTACCTAACCTAACACCCCAAATCCATCTAATATTCAAAGTTTACATCATAACTACCAATACAATACCCAAAACAACACTTATGCAAGACCCAAATGACTACTCCAATATCACATGGTGAGTCCTCTTCATTTAGTCTTTCACCATTGATGCCCACTATGACTCCTCATAATTAATATTTCACTTGGCCCATTGTTATCCAAAAAGTTACCCATTCTAACTCCTCATTTTATTTACAAATTTTTAAATTATCATTGATCTTCTCTTTAATATTATCTTTTATCTCCTTTGTGTCTTCTACTGTGATTCCTAAAAATATGAACGAAGCATTTGATCATTGTGGATGATTATAAGCCATGATTTTGGAAACATTGGTTCTTGAACATGATAGCACATGGAAATTTATTTCTCTTTGGCCTAAAAAAAATACTATTGAATGTCATCGAGCTTACACCATTAAAGTTGAGTCTAATAGTGAAATTTATCGCCTCAAAGTTAGATTTTTGGCCAAAGGATACACTCAAATATATGACCTTAATTATGCTTATACATTTTCTCCTATAGCTAAAATGATTATTGTCCATCTTCTTTGCCATGATAACTTATCATTATTTTCCTTTCAATTAATTAAATATCAAGAATGTCTTCCTCCATGGTGATCTAGACAAAAAAATTTACATGAAACAACCTCTTGGATTTATTATTCAAGGGGAATCTGGATTGAATTGCAAACTGCATCAATCTCTCTATCATATCATTGTTCAAATCTTTGGATTATATTGTAGTGAGACAAATCATTCTATTTTGATTTTTTTTACTGTCATGCCTCTTCTAGAAAAAATATGTTTACTTAATTTTGTATGTTGATAACATAGTCATGCAATGGAATTATGTTCATATATTTTCTCAATTAAAGAAGTATTTATGCAAATCACTCTCAGACTAAAGATAATAGATGTCTCAAATACTTTATGGGCATTGAAGTGATTCAATGAAAAGAAGATATTATAATTTCTCAAAAAAATAAATGTTTTAGATATCCTCAAAGAAAAATACATAATTGATTTAGATTAATGAATAGTCTTATGAATCCAAATAGGGATGAAAATTAAGTCCATACTCGCGGGGACTGATCTGTCCCTATCCCGAGTTTGACGAGAAAAAACTGAGTTAATTATGGGCGGGGATGGGTTTAGGTTTTCCCTATTTTAAAAAATCAGGGGTGGGGACGGGGATGGGTATCGCAATCCCCACCTCGCCCCCACCTCCATCCCTACCTCGACTTTATATTTAAATTTAAATTTTAAAATAATAACATTTTAAAAGTATTTCCTTTTCCTTTTTTCATTATATATGGTCATTTTTTATATTTCACCATTTTTACTTTCTTCTACCCACTTCTTATTCTTTTCTTTCTCTTTTAATTTTTTAGATCAATTAGTTCATTATATTATTCTCTTTCTCTTATCTTTCACTTTTTCATATTTCTTTAATCTTTCCAATCAATTTATTTTTTTAATATTTTAACCAATTTGACGAACACAAAAATAATTTTTCTTCTTCTTTATCTTTTTTTAAATATTTTACATAAATCTTAATAGTAACTAATATTATTTTATTTATAATTTATCTTCATTAGGTTTTATTATGTCATATTTTTTGGATCTTATTATTCTTATTTGTCATATATCAAATTTTATCTTAATAAAATTATTTTTAAAGGATTAAAAAGAATTAATAATTTAAACTTTTATTATTTTAAACTAGTTAAATAAGAATTAACTTATTAAATATTTTCATATAAACTATATATTTCATATTTTTAAATGACAACTTAAAAAAGAATTAACTTATATATGTAATCAAATGTTTGAATACAGTATTATAATAATAATAATAATGTTATAAGTATTATATATAAAGAAAAAATGATTAAATGTTTCTTTTACATATATATTTTAATATAAATATAATAAATTAAAATATATATTTAATTAATAGTAAATAAAAATTATAAAATATAAAATATGTATTTATATATAAAAAAATAAAATTAATTTATTATAAGTACAATCATTTTTTTAGAAATAATGTTGATCGGGAACTGGGCGAGGGTGACAAAAACCTAATGTGGACAGGGATAAAGACTTAATTTATAATCTCGACAGAGATCGAGAACGAGGGCAAAGAAATGGTTAAAAAGTCAGGAGCGGGGTCGGGAGGCAAACCCCACCCCCGCCTGTCATGCCTAGATCCAAATCAAAAATTAATGAGAGTGTAAAGTGAACTAATCATAGAGATATAAAAGACTTGTTCAAAAACTTATTTATTTTATTATTACTAGACCTTACTTGCCTTTAACAAGTGGAATCATCAATCAATTTATGCAATATCCTTGTCTTAATCATTAGAATGTTGTTATTTGCATCCTTAGATACCTAAAAAGGCTTTAGAACAAGGATTATTATATAAAAAATAAGAGAATTACTTAAATGTTTAGGTAATGTGATGCTTAGTAATAGAAAGACATTCCACTATTAGTTATTTTGTTTTTATTAAAGATAATATTATTTATTGAAAAAAAAATAAGAGATAAAATGTGGTTACCCGATTTAATACTGAACTTGAATATAAGAATGTAATATCTCTCATAGTGAACTTTATGTAGAAAAAATATTTCCTTCTTGAGTCTGAATTTCTAGTAAATTCAACAAATAATAATGTATTATGATAATTAAGTAATAATTGCATTGTTGATTAACATTTTTGTTGAAGATGCAGGGATATGATAATTCAGATTTTGATGATGACTCAAGAACAAAGGACTTAAAGATTAGAAGACTTATAATTTCATTTGTAATTATTTGTAATAACTCTGTTTAGTCAACTTGAGTATGTATAAATAGAGTCTGAAACAGCCAGTACATAGTTTGTCCACAAAAAGTTCATGTTTTCTCAAAAGCACACTGTGATAATCAATTATCATGTGGGATAATCTATTATCCAGTTAATTTGAATTCCAAAATGGGCTCTGTGATAATCGATTATCACTCAGGATAATTGATTATCCTGGCAAAATCGTGGAACTCTGGAATTGGCTCTATGATAATCGATTATCACTCAAGATAATTGATTATCCTGGACAAACTTTTGTTTTCTGATAATTGGCTCTGTGATAATCGATTATCTATATCAGTTATGAATTTGAATTTCAAATGTTAACCTAATTTTCGAAAACCCTAAACCTAACACCTAAAACCTCTATTTAATTATGAATTTGAATTTCAAATTTTAACTTAATTTTCGAAAACCCTAAACCTAACACCCTGAAATCTCTATTTAAAGGTCTCTCATGCTTTCTGTAAAACAACATTTTTTATACTCAGAAGTTGAGAGTTTTGATTGCTGAGAAAACTTTGAGTAGGGAACAAAAAGGAACTTTGAAAACCTAGTGTGGGCTAGAAACAATAAGAATCATTGAGTGGGTTTCTCAGTGGATTGAGTGTTGTGCTGTCTCCATGAAAGATGTCTTCATCCCTTGTGGCTTCAAAGGAGGTGTTCATCTCTTGTATGACTCAAGAGAGGTGTTTTCTAATTTTTTTCTATTTGTAATTTGTTTGAAACATTATCTTAGTGACTGAGTTAATCCTCTTTTAAAGTAATTAACAACTGGACATAGAGTCTTTTGATCTGAACCAGTATAAAATACTTGTGTAATATTTTTTCCTTATCTTTTTACTTTTCAAGTGCTTTATTATATCAGTAAAATCTTGCAAAAAAATTTTAAAAAGATAATTTTTATAAAAAACCAATTCACTCTCTCTTAGTTTTTGTCTTAACGTGAACATTTTATTGCACGATACCAACAATTTTGCTTGACAAAAATTATTGATCAAGAAAATTTGTATAACTTTTGTGAGTTTCAATCATCAATTTGCACAATTTAACTTAATGAATGAGAAGACCTTAAATTCAATTTATATGTTTCAAGGATATATAATCTACGTACTCCAACTTGAAAAAGGAGTGTTTATATAGCTTAACTTCTAATAATAACTTAGCTTATCTTCTCTAAAAAGTAAAGTTGTCTTGTACCTTTCTTTTTAACTTTGATGTAAATTTTCTTGTAAATAATATGAGTCAGCTAAGAGATTAATCAATCTTTTAAGCCATTTCTCATATTTTTACTAGTAGGTATTATTAAAAGAAATCTTATATAATTGGTGATAGTATCAGTGTTACCTAAAAATCTATATTGCATCTAAGAATCTCCCAAATATGTAATTTCACAGTGGTTAACATGTGTGTATAATTGCACTAAATTTGATCTAAACTTCGATCTTGCTACTGATGGGGACAAGCTCCAAATTCTCTTCAGGTACCTCATAACTCGGGTAATTTTCTGGAGTATCGGAAGGAAGCAGTTCCTCATATTGACCTGTTCTAGGGACAAGAAAAACCAAAGCAAGTATAGCAAACCTAAGCATGTCCCTTATGAGAACAGCCAGCCAAAGGTTTGTGAAGTCAGTTCTGGTGATGTGGAGGAGACGAAGAAGCAACCCTCCACCCCATCTGGATAAGAGGGCACCAGTGCTATCAATGCACATTAAGAGAGCAAAAAATGTGCCCTCAATGCCTAAAGGGCACAACTGGGTGCTCAGCACCATCATGGGCATCCATCTGATTTTGCCTGTGATTCTTGTAGCACTTTCTTCAATGACGACAAAGATGTAGTCAGGGATTCCAATAACCAAATTCCAACGGAGGATGAAAATCAGGTCCAGCACACCAGATATGCCATAAAAGAGTTGTGCATAAAACACTAGGTCTCGGAATGCGTAGTCTTTTAGAACCTTGTGGTAGATTAAAACCCCTATTAATGATGCCACTGCACCGATTGCATATATCACCCCTACAAACTCCTGCATACAGAGGGAGGAAATTAAGTTGTGGTGTGTTGAGATAATGAGTTTAATTTACAATAACCATCGGTTTAGTGTGAATCAATAGTAAATATAAGTTCTTGAAGCTAAAAAAAATAAAATTAAATAAATCTCTGAATTAACTCTTTTTCATTTTGATCATTAAACATATGCTATTATTATCACACAAGTCTTTAAACTAAAGAAAAAAATTTTATATATATATATATATATATATATATATATATATAGAGAGAGAGAGAGAGAGAGAGAGAGAGAGAGAGAGGGGGAGGGAGAGAGGGAGAGTTAATTTAAACACAAGTAAAATTCTAATAAAATTCTGACAAGTTTAAGTTTTTTTTTTTTTAATTTCAGAAACCAAAATTGACATAAAGATACATTTCACAGATTAAATTAATCATTTATAATTATTTGAATATAAATGGTAATAAATTTATTAACATGACAATTTATGATCGAACGATACTATATAAAAAAAAAGCTAGTTATACATGAAGTATTTATTCTTTACGCTTGATGAGTAGCAAACTATATATGAGGGGTACCTGAGAGAATGCAGGACCAGCTTTTGAATCGGTATACCAATAAAAATGTCCTTCGTGAGTGGTCACATTTAAAGCCAAGGAAAGGAACATGAATAGAGAAGGCTTCCACACTTGAGGATACCTAATTGTTTTGAACATGCTTCTAATAGTCGTTCCTACGCTCACCAGCACTGCCTGTGAAATCTTAAGATTCTAGTTAGATAATATAGGTGACAAACATAGAGATGTAAATCTTCCAAAATAAGAAAATTAGTCATTGTCTATCATTTCTAGTTCTTACTCGATATAAGATTAGCCATTAACGTTTTACACTATGTAACTTGAAAATATGGGATGTGTGAAAGAGAAGATAAATCAGTAAAAATAATATATCAAAATTAGAAATAGTAGACCAAAGAAGAATAAATGAATGCATAGAATGATACAATTTTAAGAGTATATAATCTTAGGTGGGCAAGAACCTTAGCCCCACTTGTATCCACATATACGGGTTAAGTATCAGTATATATAATCAAGTAGTTAATTAGATGTCCAGCGAGAGCCTCCAGTTTTACACATCAAACCAGGTCAAATCCAATCACTTGACTAGTTTCTTATCATTAAGTTAAGAATATTAGTTGTTTAAAATGCTTTATAAGAATAGAAAAGAAACATTAGGGACAAAAAAAATAGAAGGGACAGCTGATCTGTGATAGTTTTGATAGATTACAAACTCCGATCAGTCCGACTGATTGACAGTTCAGTTTGTTAATAAATAAATTATATGTATAACAATATATCTTTAATTATATAAATAATTTTTAAATTTTTATTTATTAATTAATAATTTAAATTTAATTAATTATTTTTTATAATTTAAATTATAATATTATAATATATTTATATATATATATATATAATTAATATAATAAAAAATATATAATTTTTTTTAATTTTAATATATAAATTTTTTTAAATAAATTAATTCACCTCGTCCTGTTCTTATTCGTCAAATTAACAGGTTAGACAAAATAAGGTAAAATAATTGACTAAAACTACCAATAATTTCACTGTTTTTTAAACGAGTTTCACGACATCAAAACTTAATTCATCTTACCATCTCTATTACACAAATCATTACTTTTTAACACAAGAAAAAGTTGAGGTATAATTCTTGAGTAACGTGCATATTTTAAAATATAACAAGTTTAACTAATAAAGAAATAGAGCATGAGACACAGTGTAGTGTAATACTAAATCAAAAGTTGAATTATGAGAAAAAAAAATTAAGGTAATTCAAAAAAACAAGACTAATATGATAAAATGCCCTTTATCTTAAGGAAAGGTAAATCTCTACCTCAGGCCAAAGGTTTAAAGATCCTTGATTATTTATTTTCGAATTTTCTTTCTTAATTATATCAATGGTTATAAATCAATCATTTAAAAATTATGAATTCCTCTCTAGTCTAAAATCTTAAAATATGATTAGGATTTTTTTCTTATATACTTAATTCTATTTTTTTTAAAATGAATCACTTTCAACACAATAACAACATCATCATCTAAACATAGATTAAGATCATCACATACTCTATCATAAAATTGTTCTCCATATGTAATGTCAAGAGAAATAAAAAAAAATATATATATATATATAATTAATAAGTTGTATTAATAAATTACCTAACCTGTTTCGTTTCAATATGCGACCCACTTGTTCTGTTTTCATAAATCACAAAACCCAGCACAGTTGTCAAAGTCGGACAAAGCGCCAAGAGACCCAGCGACTCCTACAAAATAAAAAAATAAACAAATATGGTCCAAATCCTTTTAATATTATTTATTCATCACAATTATGCACTAAAAATCTTAAATAATAAAATGTGTTAAAAACATGTAATTAACATTTCCTCTGTACAAATAAAACATATTTAAAATAATTAAATACTCTATAAGCGAAGGATTTACTTAGTATTATTCAATTATCAATAATAATAACATGTAATCAGTAAGTGAACTTTTATGATAATTATTTTAAAAATAACTTAATAATAATAATAATTTTTAATTGGTTTACCATTAAAAAAGAGTTATATTTAGACTAAAATTAATCATGTTTTTAGTTTTAAAAATTTAAGATAAATCCAATTTTACGTAAAAAATTCCAATTGAAATCATTCAAATTACTAAAAAAAGTGTTTCAAATTACAATAAACATTAAATTTGAAACGTTAAATATTTTTTTTAATTCGTAAACAATAAATTTGAAAAACTAACGTAATATACATTTTAAATTTTAGAAATAAAACTATAATAATTAAATTTAAAAGGCCAAAATCAAATCACCTCAAATTTTAGAAATTAAAAATTAAAATTAAACACTTCAATATAAATTTTTTTTAAATAATAAGGATTAAATTTTTAAAAATATATACACTATTAACCACTTTAAATCATTTTAAAGTATTGTCAAATTATTTAATATAATCTTTAAAATGATAATTACAATTTAGAAGAATTAAACTAGTCTAAAGTCCAATGAAATTCAAACCAAAAACCATGGAACCGTTGAAATCTGGAGGAACTATGCTCACAAATCATGAAATCTCGCGGTTCCGTGTTCGTACCTGAGGACCAAGCCGGTGCACGAAGAACCCACTCGCGAGGTACCCGATGAGCGCGCCGGTGCCGGAGCAGAATCCGCAGAGGCTTTGCAAGTCCGGCGCTAGCTCCCTCACCTCGATGCTGTTCCTGGCAATACACGCATCGATCGTGACGTCTGCGATCGCGAGCGACGCCGACACACCGAGAAAGCACATCAGTGCTGCGGCGGCGGCGAGGTTACCGGTGAGTGCGACAGTGGCGGCGGAGACGGCGCCGATGACGCCGGAGATGACGAAGTAGGGTCGGCGGTGGTATCCTCTGATGGGGAACGTGTCGGTGAGGATTCCCCAAAGAGGTTTGAGAACCCAGGGGATGAAGTAAACACCTACGTAGAGTTGAACGGTGGAGGGTTGAAGCTTCTGCACGTCTTTCCAGTAGTAATCTGCGACTACCTTGAAGAGCGAGCCCGAGAGGCCTTGCCCTAAACCGTAGATGAGGAACACTCCGATCACGAAGGTAGGGTTTAGCTGTGAGGAGAGCATTCTCAGCCATTCGACTGGTTCTGTTAGAAGAGAAAGAAGGGTTTTGGTTTTGGTTTCGGCGGTGACGGTTACGTTAGCGTTCTCTCCCATTGTGTTGTTGCTGGGTGGGTTCAAATGGGTGGAGTTTGTTGTGTTTTCATGGATTGATTAGATGCAAGATTTGGTTTGACTTAAACACGACAATAAGAGGAAGAAGAAGAAGCAATATGTGATGCAATTTGGAGTGGAACGGGGCGTTGAATACTATTAAAATAGACAAGTGGAAAGAAACTTAACAGCTGTTCTTGACTCAGAAAAATCAAAATATACAAGAAAAAAGAAAACTCTAATCCATTCTGTTATTACAGGAAAATATAAGGGTGTAGAATATTGGAAATTGGAAAGAACATCTTCAAGAAATGAGTTATAAACTCGCTGCACTGAATCCAAAATATTTGGTGCATGGATTATTATTATTATTTGTGTTTAATGTGATTCATTTTATATAGTAACTGCAGCATTGTTAATGTTTAACTTGTCGGTTCATGTATAATATATTGCTCACACTTGTTACTTCAATAATATTTCAATCTTGGTGTGATTTTCTTCTTCATGGTGTATGCCCCTTCAATAGTGTTTTATTTCTTTCATTCATCAAAAATTAGATTGTGAACTTTTATTAACATTAGTTATCTTCAATTGAACACACTGACTCAATCCTAATACTGCTTATACAAAGTGATGAAGTTTTTCAGTGAACGATGTACACAACATTTGTACAAAAAGTTAACAAAACCGATCCCCAAATATTAGGGAAGAGAATCTTCCAATTATAGAAAATTGGGAAAATTTATCGTAAATAAAAAATTTATAATATCTGAATACTTCCATTCTAATTGGAGCAAATAAATTATACAGATTCTAACTGGTTACATATTTCAGTTATTTGAAGACTTAATAAAAGTTTTACATATTTCAGTTATTTGAAGACTTCATAAAAGTTTTGAGAATCTTTTGATGACTTGGAAGAGAATCTTTTGTCTAATGCAGTCACAATCGACTTCTAAATGGTCTATCCTCTCATGAAGCTACATCAAATGTTTCAACAGCAAAAGGTTCACATGTGATGTGAATCGACCTAGTAATTGACTTGGAATAATTTGCTTTTTCCTCTCCCATGAATCAGATTACCACTCAAAAAGTGAAATAGCCTGAAGTGTTTGCATCCCCTGTCTCTCTTCAATCAACTCTTCTAAACCTAAAAAAGAAAATAGACATAATTTATATTTTAACAAATGGCTTTTAGGGGGAAAAAACGGTCACACATAACATAATTTTTAAAACAATGCTACAATAAGAAAATAGTATGCTGCTACATCTCCATTAATTATCGTCTGTTACTCCAATGCAACATAACAAATCTATTATTGGATTGTAATGTATCCATAACATTGAACCAATGGAAAGGTGAGACATACATTTAAGTGCAACTTCAGAACGTAGACAGATATGATAATTCAACTGCACAAGTTACGACCCTTTATAATGACAGCATATTGCTAGGATAATATAAATGGCCCCAGAATTTTTCCACAAAAACAGACACAAACAAATACTGATATGAATCATTTTGAGCTAACAAGTATAAGTTTTCTGCACTAAACTGGTAATTGCTTTACTATACACACCAAGTAATTTACATGGCTATATTTATAGCTCATCATCAGTTTTTAAGTTTTAACTCCTTGTGCGAGATCCCTCGCTTTATGCCCTCCTACGTAAAGCTCTTGTTTGTGTTCTGACTTACAAACTCATGCAGCAAGTAACCTCTGAATATCCTTCTGAAAAAATAAATCAGGAAACAGGTTAATCATAGAAGCTTTTTGATAGCTTTAGTATCAATTCTCAAACAAACACGTCTAACTTGTCTTATATACACATGTAAGAACAAATATATAGTTTCTTTTAATTGTAATTCACTCTCAATCCAATGTAGAAGGATGAACTGGAGTAATAGAAAAACCAGACTCAAGGAAAATCGTTCATGTTGGTTTTATTTGGCCATTTAATTCATTAGTCCCTTTCAGAATTCTTGGGCTTAATATCCCTCTCCTAATATCTTCAATGGATGCAGCCCCTCAATGATTTGATGCAATTGCAAGAAGGTATAAGTAGTACTGAAACTAACAGCTATAGCTAACAAACTCATTTTCTGCAGCACTTAAACTATCCAGTTTTTAAGCATTAAGTTGTAGTTTTCAGCATTAGTTCAGTGCTGGGAAGAAAAATGAGGGAGCGAAAGTAGGTAGGTGAGAAACTAATAGAACAGAAATAGAGTGCAAATATGTGTTTTTGGTTTAAGAGAAGTACATGAAAAATAGTTGAAATAGAAAAGAGAAATTTAAAAGAGAACAAAAAATCAATAACAATCCATTCTATAGATAATAAATATATATAAATCTCCACGGGAAATACTCCTTGGTAATGAACAAAAATCAAAAGAGTAAATTGGGTTACGAAATGCAACAATAATCAATTATATAGTAGTTCATAATCAATAATGAACACCTCACTGTCCTTGTTAATATTCATTTTTGTGAAAAAACGAAAAAGGTGCAAGATTCGCCCCTTTTAATTTCTTCATTCATCCACTTTCACTAAACCATACAGGGCATGTTTTCATTTCTTTGCTCTTCCCTACCTTCCTCCTCTCCTCAACACTGAATTTTCAGTGCTAGATTTCACAATATATTAACATATACTCTATATTATTCACATCATCAATCTTATGTCGCAATTCGCAAAGCACAATGACAAACCCCACTAGCTAATATTTCATTGCTATTATAACAATTAGAACCTGGACATTTGCTTCAGAGGGAAGCTTAATATACCTCAATCTGAAAAGGTGAGGTTGTTGGTGGGTATCTTTCAATAACTTTACCATTTTTATCAACCAAGAATTTCTCAAAATTCCACTTTATTAGATCACCCAGAAAGCCTCCAGCACTTGATTTCAGAAACTGGTACACAGGGGCCGTAAATGGTCCATTGACATCCACCTGATTTATAAAACTTTATTACTTTGCTTACTTGTACTTTAAACTGTTCTGAACAGCTGACTGAAGAAACATTATCAAACCTTGTCAAAAATTGGAAATTCAGCTTTAAATCGAGTGCAAGCAAACTGCTTAATGTCTTCATTTGATCCAGGTTCCTGCATTCCAAATTGATTGCATGGGAAAGCTAGAACCTCCAAACCTGGAAAGAAGCAGCATAAGGGCACTAGATGTGTGTAGCTGAGAAAACATAATTTAAAATTAAAAAGCTTAGAACTATTGGGAGTCTCACATCGTTGATGCCTCATGCCATGTGGTATGGTTTAAATATCTATTAGGCTACTCTACATATTGTCAATTGGTTTTATGTTGGAACCTTAACAAAAACCATATTCATAATAACAACAAAATAATAAAATTGAATAAAAGTCACTTTTGCATCAATCCATTGGAAGTATTTTAATTTTCCAAAAAACAAAACCACCAATGTCTGTCCAAGTTCAAGAGACCAGAAATTATACTGCCAAAGCTGGCCCATGTTCCAGCATAGAGTAACATTTTCATTCTACCCATTTTAATATGAAACTTAAGGTGTGCTTGGTTGAGATAAAAGAATGACAGATCAAAACAAAAATAGAGCAGCTACAATAGCCATTCTTTATTTTGTAAATTTTTTCACACCAACTAGGAAAATGCAACATACAATCCAAACAAAAGGGAAAATGAAAACTTATTCACTTTCACTCCCTACCTAATCGTTAGTAAATTCTTCCACCCCAACTTGGAATGAAATGCAATTATTTGTCCAAACAAAACAAGGGCAAATGAGAACTTCTACACTTCCAATCCCCTACCTAACTCTTCAAATTTCCATCTTCCCTAACAAGAGCACAGAACACCCTTAATTTAGCTACAAGTACCAGTAGCATCACACAAACAAGCCACTGGGATAATGGAGACGGGGAATCAATAAAATAATGCCACACAATTTAATATCTTCAATTCCATAGCATGGAGTCCTTAAATGTCTTTATTTCTATTCTAGGTTCTACCCTTCTACTGCAAGAAATTCACTTTGATCTTCATCATATGAAGAAGGAGAAAAATATAATAAGGATAGAGAGGGGGAGTCAATACAATAATGCCAGACAATTTAATATCTTAAATTTCAAAGGATGGCGTCCCTAAATGTCTTTATTTCTGGGTCCTACCCTTCTACTGCAAAAAGTCACTTTGATCTTCATCATATGAAGGAGAAAAACAATGTTTAAAATTCTACATAATATTTGTCATTATTGTTAAAAGTTGGTGTCAAATAAATAATTCATAAAAACAAGCATTATTTCTTTGCCATCCATAGATGGTTCTCATACTTAATTAAATCTAAAATTACATCAAAGTGGAAAAAACTGCAGAACATGAGTTAACAGGTTCAGCAATATTTTTCATCAATCCACTTAACATGGAAAACAGCAAGATAGTATATCAGCAGACTCTATATAATGCATCATATGGGGAAATCAATATACATTGTAAAATCATACCCAATTTGTAAGTAACAATTACAGAACGGTGTAGGAGAATAGGGGTTACATGTGAGAAACAACCCAGTAAGTAAAGTTCATTCACATCAGTATCCCATCTAAAGTGACCAATAAATTGTGCCTGAATTCACGTAAGTGGACATACTGCTCTCCAAGTTTTATACAGTGCCCAACAAAATAGAATGATTTGCACAAGTACATAGATTCAGAATCAAGAAAATATATGAGCGAACACCAACTAACATGACCAATTGTCATTCTCAGAAATATTAAGAAGATAGACAAATAACAATCATTTATACGATACATACCTTGATTCTTATACTTTTCATACAAACGTGACAGCTCCGAGTAATTCGATGATGTCAAACCACTGCCATAGGAAGGAAATTTATTAAATGGTATCATAAAAGACCAGACAGTTTGACACATTGTTATAACCAATTTGATTTTAAGATATAGAAATTTGTAAGAATAATTAATGAGGAAAACTATGGCTCCAAGACATATTGAGCAACATATCTCCCTTGAAGAGCATAATTCATACCATCGTGAAGCAACATTGACAATCAACAGAACCTTCCCCTTAAATTTGCTAAGAGAGACTTCCTTTCTGTCAATATCCTGCGTCATAAAATATAATATAATATACACCATGAGCTCATAACAAATAAAAATAAATAAATAAACTGTTACCTAAATTTCAAAAAGGTCTCCCAATTCAGTAAATTGTCCATAACAATAGATTGTAATATACCCCACTTCTCCAATTAAAATTTCAAGGTTTACCCAATTCATTTCAAGAAAAAGGGTTATGGAAATTGATATTGAACATGGTACCTTAACAGTAAAATCATAAATGGTTTTTTCTGTGGCAGCTCTTGCTTGAACTGAGAAAGACCTAGGCTTTATGAAAAGCTTGGGAAAAGTGGATGATGTTTGTAGGGAAAAGGCAGGATGGAAAAAGGTTGAGTTAGAGGAAGCAAAGGAGGATTTGATGAAAGGAACAGAGGGAGACGTTAGTGGGTTTGTTCTGGCATGAGTGAAATCATGAAGGGGCGTGAAGCAAGTGGTGGAGAAAGCCATGGAGGACATTTTAGGTGGTTGGGAACTGAAGAGACTTCTCAAGTTTGGTGCTTTCTGTATCTGGAATTTGGAAGTGAATTTGTGTATCAGAGAATGGAGATGCGTGTTGGAGGGGAAATTACGCGTAAACATTCTCAAAGAAAAAAACATAAAAAATAGAATGCTAATAAAATTTTCGTTGGTGAAGAATAATACACTAGACAAAATTATTTAAATTTCCAAATTCCACGGAAATGTAAAACTCTTGCAATTCTAAAACAAATTCTAAATTTTATCAATTAACAGTCCTACGTTTAAGTTTACTTAAAATGGAATTCCAAGTGTAAGAAGCTTGGCCACTCACATTCTTATTACCAGTTAACTAAACAAAATTTATAATCTAATTTCGTCGATATTTTAAAATAAATTATAATTTTTTATCTAATTTAATTTTATATTTAATTAATTTTAATCTAATTAAAAATTAAAAATAACTAATAATAATATCTATATAAATAATTAATTTTAAAATATAAAAAATAAATAAAAATAAAAATATATTTTTAAGTTTTAAATTATATTAATATGAATAATTTTATATTTAGATATAAGAATTTAGTATATAAATTATATAAAAAAATTATTTATTTCAAAATAAAAATTAAAAAATATTTTTATTTTTTATTTTTTAAATAAATAAAGATTAAAAACTTATTTTTTTATTTTATTTTAATAATAAAATTAAAAATATATTTCTCTATCAAAATAATTTATAACATATATATATATATATATATAATAAAATAAAATTATTTTACTTTTATTGGTACGTGTATAAACTTGTTTTGCTTAAATTTATTTAGGTTAAATTTAAATGAATCAAAATTGATATGATTTATTTTAGATTATAATTTTTTTTTTACCTAAACTTCTTTTTTTTCTTTTTTTTAGGTTTTTCAAGTTAATCTATTATATTAAACTTATTTTAACACTAAGAAATAGTTACATACATGGGGTTAAGAATAAAAATATTATTTTAATATAAATTTTATTTAAAAAATTATTGAAAATTAGAAATTTATTTATGTAAATATTTTTAATTTTCAATAATTTTATATATAAGATCCACATATTTTAATAGTTTTTATTCACAGATAATTTTTTAAAATAACTATATTTAAATATGCTCTAAATATAAAGATAAAAATAAATTAATCTGAACAATTTCTTTTAATAATAAATAATTAAGATCTTATAATTTACTTTTTTTTATATCTTTAATTTTTATATTATAATATTGAATTGTTATAAAATTCCTTTAATATATGGTAAATCGATATTTTTTTAAGATAAAAAATAATAATATACAGTTTTAAATTTTAGAGTAATTTTTGGCAAAACGGCTAGGCCCGGCAGCCGGCCTGCCATAATATGCGGGGCGGGTTGGTGTTTTTAGTCCACCAGCCCACTTTGGCCTGCCCGCAAGCTCGTCAACTCGTCGGGTCAACTCGTGAGACTGGCGAGCCAGCCACGGCCGCCTAATTAATAAAAAAATAATTTTTTATTGTAATAAAATTAATTATAAAGATAATATATAAAGTTAAAAATTTTAAAAAGAGAATTAAAAAAGTTTCATTCTCACATAAAATATTATCCTCGTGAAACATAAATTTCTCTCATGTTCTCCTTGTTTATCCTAAGCATCTGATTATTTTTATCCTTATTACTTGAATTAAAGGTGTAAGAATTCATTGAACCAAGAATAACATGAAGTTTTATCAAATAAAAAAGATATATGTATTTAAATTTTTCAATATAAAAAATATAAATTTTATAAGTTTAACGTTATTTATATATATATATATATATATATATATATTTGTTATTATTTATTATTATGTAAATTTTATTATTGTTCTAAATTATAATTTCTTAAAATAATGTATTGATTTATATTATTAAATTGAAATAATATATATATATTGAATTATTGACAAACAAATAATAATTTTATTATTAAATTTATTAAAAAAATTTATTTAAAAAAATTATTTTTTTCTAAATTATAGTAGGCTAAAGTGGTGAAGCTAGCCCATTTTGTCATCCCTAATTTTAACGTATTAAAATAAAAAATATATATATATTACTCTTTTCTTCTTAATCTAAATTAATATGAAATAATTGACTTAAATATTTTTAAAACTCGCGTAAAAATTATCATGTCTTCTTTTTATTTTTATACTTTAAATTTTTTACATTTTATTAGTGTTTTTAATCCTTATTATTAACTACTATAAATTTAATTTCAAATATATAAAATATTAATTAAGTAAAATATGTTTGAGTGGGTTGAGGAGAGTGTGTAGAAATTAAATTATTTTTCTTCCAATTTTTAAGCATATATATATATATATATATATATATATAATATCAATTATCCATAAATATTTTTACAAAAAAATCAGTATTTTACTACATATTTAAGATGTCCTAATAATTTTATTATAATGGTATTAAAAAAAATCAGTATTTTACTACATAATTTAAGATATCCTAATAATTTTATAATAATAGTAATGATTATAATATATATATATATATATATATATATATATATATATAATTTTTTATTTTTTTAAATAAAAAAGCAGAATAATTTATTTTTCTATTTACACTTTTATATTATTCATCATCTACTTCCTGTACTATCCTATGGAAAAATAAATTTAAAAAAAAAAATCAAAACTCTTAAATTATTTTAATGATTCATCAAGAAACTGGTTGGTCAAATCTGCTTAATGAACTCAGACTAATTTGAATCATACTTTCCTAATCATCCGAAAATATTATTTACTTTATGCAAACAGATAATGGAATAATAATTTTCAATTAATATAACATAAAAATTAACCTAATTCAAATTTTTATGGTTTCTAAATACCCTTTTTTATCTAATTTATTTTTTGTGTACCCTATCTTTCTATTTATCCAAAAAAACATATTTTATGATTAGTTTAAAAGGTGATGAGATTGGGATTATGTGTGTGGGCGTGAGGGAGAAAGGTTTGAAACCACACATTTGGACGACATGTTTGTGTGGTTCATGAATCACCACACACTCTTATTTGTCCTCATTTATTCTCTTAAGTCCTTATCTTCTATATATATATATATATATATATATATATATATATATATATATATATATATATATATATATATATATATAACTTCATTTTTTTCTGTTATTCTATCTATAATTTCGGTCCTTATTTAAAATAAAATAAGGATATTTAATTTTTTTATTATAAAAAATCCACAATGTTATTTATATTTATTTTTTATATTTTAATTAATCAAAATAACTTTATGATATAACTTTAAAAAATATCAAATGTTTTAATTTTAAATAGACGAGATAAATTACGAATTAAACAAAATATGAAATCAAAATTGTGTTTAAATCTTTTTTTTTATCTTTTACACATATAAGAGATATATAATTTTTTTTAGTATTTTTGCATGTAGGATTTTATGGTTTACAAAGTATATACAAAAATTTGTTGGTATACAAATATTGACGAATTACTTTTTAAGAAAAAATTCAGTGGGCTTCGGTATTTTTTTTTTAATGATAATGTATAAATATTATATTTGTTAAATAATTTTACTTTACCATATTAATAAAAATATGGTTAGAGATATAAAAGGACAATTTTATGGATCAAATAAAAAAATTTAATGATTCAATTTAACTTACTGATCAATGGATTAATAAATCAATTTTGATCTTAAAATAATTAATTAAAAATAATTTAAATAAAAATATATATTTTTTAAAATTTAAATTATAATAATAAAATTAATTTTTATTTAAAATATAACAATTTAATATATAAATGATACGAGAATAGATGATTCACTCTCAAAATAAAAGTTAAAAACTTCCTATTCTTTATCATAATTCATTCTTTAATTATTTATTAATCTAAAATAATAATTAATTACTTTGATATTTACTCTCAGAATAAATTAATCTTTTATTAAATTATTTTATAATATATAATTTTTTTATAAAATAATATTATTTTTATTTTTATTTAAAAAATAATTATTATTCTATAAAATGGTCGAACACATAAGTTTACGAGTTAGTCTAACCTAAATCTATGTAGATCATTGTCTAAATAGGTTGGACTAAAATAAATCTGATTCAATTCAGACTACAAATTTTTCGACCTAACCTAACCTATTTTACAAGTTTTGCCATACTAATACATCAAGTTAAGCCTATTATATATATATATATATATATATATATATATATATATATATATATATATATATATATATATATATATATAATGATATTTTATATACCAAAACAATTATACTTAAGTATATAAATCACACCGTTATTGTGATAAATAACAATTAATTTATTTTTATTTATGATTATTGTTTTAAAATAAAACATATTTTATGTTTTTCAATGTAAAAAAAAATTATATAGATCTCCATTTAATATTTTAATTTTCTTATCAATGGTACATTAAAACATTAAGTGTAACATTATTATATCGATTATTTATTTAACATGCTATATCATGTTAAAAGGACAAAGTAAAGTATTTATAGATTTAAAGCATAAATTCAACATAATTAGAGGGATTAAAAAATTTTGAAAAAAAAAAATCATGGACAATTATTTAAAGTTTTAATTTCATTAACTTATTTTTATCTTTGGAATTAACCCATCATTATTTCCCACCCAATTCAACCAAACATAATGTGTCCAGCACTCATTACCTAACTTAAAAAATTGATGACATTGAATATACATAGCAATGTTATGCCTTAAACAATGATAGATGAAATTGAATATACTTAGCAATGTTATCCTCTTGTTAAGAAGATCTTTGATAAACATAGAATATACGATTACAAATACCGTATCATGCCATGATTCTACATGATTAATTTTTTCCATATTTAGCTTGGCATGACAGCGATGCACAGTGATGCACATTAATGTCATATCTGTTAATAGACAAATTTAGGATACCGACTATAATGGTTAGCGTAATTATAGCCTAGAATGTTTCTGTATTTCATGTATATATTGTGCTATCATATTCAATACAAGAGAGGGG